GAAATGAATGCATATATTTTAATGATAACATATCATGTACACAAATATTGCAGTTCATATTTTACATACAATTCAATGTTTCAAAATTATTTTATAAGCATAATTATGTTCATATATAAAATTTAACTTAAGATGGTAACAACCCGAATAACTCAGTCCAACTTTGTCGTCCCTTCGTGTAATAGCATTTTCGCATTTTGAGGCGAAGACGCAAAAAACGACATAGCGTTAATCAGCCACCATAACGTACACAATGAAGAAGTTAAAACATGTAGGAAAATACAAGAATGTTTCGCGATATTAAGTGTACAAATTCTGTATCATCTCGTCTCACTTTATTGTTGACATGTTCTAATAAACCTACTTATGTGCTTGCGTGAACAATTTTATTATGTCGGACAATAGGTTAAATTACACAACATAAGTTAATTAAAAATTCTATGCGAACAGCACATTGATCAAACTATGAGATATGGAGCGTCCGTGGCCGAGTGGTTAAGGTCGTTGACGTCAAACCATTCGCCCCTCACTGCTGTGGGTTCGAATCCCGACAGAGACTTAGGATTTGTTCATGTTAGGACGCTATCCAGCTAGTTTACGGAACGTCTGTGGTTCAGGTGCCCGTTTGTGCTTGAAATATTGCACGGAAGGAAATCTGTGATCCTCCTTCACCAGCTCGAACGTCGCGCTATGACCAATACTGTGTCGATTTGACTTTAAAGCCAAAACAAAAAAAAACTATAAGATTTTACATGCATGCATAAAAGTATGTAATGAGAGCATAAAAAAGAAATGTATGTAAGGAAGATAAATTCATTGCCTACATATGTGGCAAATTTGAGATATTCGGCTTTGATATCTTTAACTTGTCATATTCACTTATGATAATGGAAATGTTAGACATGATTCTTTGATATGACCCAATATTTGAATTTTGTATTCTAATTGTCTAGTTTGTACTAAAGGAAATATTATTTTCTTCAAACGCTTTTATAATTTTTCCAGTATATATAAAAGATGCACATCACACAAATACTTGTTTGCTTACTGTGTCACTTAAGATTTGTATTCATAAACAGCAGCAGCAGCAGCCGCAACAACAACACAACAACAACAATAATCAAATTCTAAACAACCATTTGTTCAATCACAATAATATTCCATTTGCTATTTGAGTATACGACATTTTTGTGGGAAAAAAGTTCGTACGATGTACAAAATACAATGCACCTATTTGCTGAACAATCTAAATATCACATTTTACTACTTTAAACCAGGTAAGCTACTAAAAATTAAAAAAGAAATATGGAAAAAGATTCTTACTTCTATTATCTGTTGATATTTATGTTGGGTTCAATGAAGCTACAAAACATTTGCTGAAAAGTGTAAAATCTGAATAAACCAACATTTTAAGTTAAATTGAACAAGCAGATGTCTTCAAACTGCTAGCAAGTTATTATACTCAACTGTTGTGCAAAACAAAATCCTCAACCAGACAAATTCTAGACCTGCAGTTTGACATATTTGTTTTGTCTTTAATTTCAACTTTAAGGTAACATGCGCAGTTTCCTTTAAAATGAACACTGTTTTTTGTTCTTTTGACATCATAAAGATAAAATAATTTAAGAATGTACAATGATTTTTCGATCTGTTATTTAAGAAAGATGTTTTTGTGGTCTTGTAAATTTTTTACAGAGAATATAAAGAATATTATTGCATACTAATTGCAACACTAAAATAAAAAAAGATATGACTTTCGTCTGGCTTGAGACACTTTATATATTCTTTTGTTATTGATATTTTAGATCACAGATACAATTCAAGAATATGTAAAAAAATATGAACCAAATGTTAAAATAATACCGGACAAGTTACAATAATAAAAGCAAAATCGGGATATTTTGTTATCATTGGTATGTTATTGCATGCTATAATATTACATTTTTATCTATTATCTTTCCAGGGTAGGTTATCGTATAGATATAATTTGATCTCAAAAAAAATAATTTTTTATTCAAAATATTGGATTGTTCACGCACACATGTAAGTCTAAACTTCTTGATATTTTTCGTCAGCAAAAAGTTTGGTAATTTACGTATTTCACCCAAAATGAATAAGTGGGGAGGCTTAAAATTACGGAAGCGTCCTTGTGCCTATTCATAATGTTCTATAAAAATAATCTCCTACTTAGGAGATAAAAAAGCCTAATTAGGAGTTTATTAGGAGACTTATAAAGTCGTACGTAGGTTTTTATAACTCATATATAGGAGTTTATAAGTCCTACGTAGGAGTTTATGAGTCCTAGTAGGACTTTATAACTCCTACGTAGGAAATAAAAAAAGCCTTATTAGGAGTTTATAACTCCTACGTAGGACTTTTTAACTCCTACGTAGGACTTTTTTAACTCCTACGTAGAGATAAAAATCCTATACGTAGGAGATAAAAAATCTAATTAGGAGTTTGTATCTCCTACGTAGGCTTTTTGACTTTTATAAGAAATGCAACGAATGCTTTTCAAAATTTTCAAAAATTCCGGACCCCGGTATACGTTTTTCAGCGAAGGGGAAAAGAACTTAACCCCCCCCCCCCCCCCCGAAAATTTTAAAAAACTGAAAAAAAGGGTTTCACCTTTTTTTTAAACAGAAAATTTTGGTTTGGGAAACTATACGCTTATAGACCACTTTTAAAAACTGTTCCTGGCTAAGTACGTACTAGCAATGAAAGTTTAATATTCCTTTACTGACCATTGGATTGGTGTGTCAGATTTGGTAACTTTTAAATTTGAAAAGTATGTTTTTCTTTACCATCTTTTCAAAAATTGTAACCGTCGTCATCATTTTAAAGGGACAAATATGCTAAATAAACCCATTGAATAAAATTTTTTATTCCCAAAACGTTTTAAATCCGAAATTTTATTAATAAATGTTCACATTTTTTTAAAATTTCTTTTTTGTCTTGATCAAAATTTTTTTTAAAAATTCCATCTACAATTTTTTTTAGGTTTCAGTAATTTGAAAAGGGAATAAACTTTTTTGGCTCATCAAAATGTTTATAGCAGTCTTAAAACCTCATGTTTAAAGATTGATCTTTTTTAAACTAGAAAGATTCCACTTTCAAAATCATTTGCAATCTAAAAATATTACGTTTGTTTAAAAATTTAAAGGGCTTTTTAAATTTTAAAATTTAAATGTTTTTAAAATGTTTATTTCCTTTCAATTTGCCATTTATTCCCTTTCGTTTTTTTGCCTTTAATGTTTAGAGTGACATTAGGTTTGTTTCTGCTAGAGATTTTAATAATAAAAGAAAATTTCCTTAAATTTTTATAATCCCCCCCCCCGAGAAAGGTTATTTTTTTCCCACACAACTAAAGACATAAGGCTTTATTCATATATTAATCATCATAGGCATAAACAGTAATATTCTTTGAACTTAATAAATATTCAGGGCAATAACAGAGCCATAACTGTGTGTTAAATAGTAATATCTGGAAATGTCAATGAGATGTATGCATACGACATAACTAATCAAGGGCCATAAAATCTGAGTTATAAGTATCTGACCGGAACAAGGCGACTATATGCACATCTCCTCTTAGAATCCCAAAAAGTTTCATTGAATTCCAGCCAGTAGTTGCAGAGAAGTAGCGAGGAAACGAATATTTTTCTTTATGGATACTGATAACTAATCAAGGGCAATAACTCTCAGTTTAAAGTGTCTGACCCAACAAGGCAATGATATGCACATCTCTTTAGTATTGAAGGTTCCCATAAAGTTTCATTGAATTCCAGCAGTAGTTGCAGAGAAGTAGCACGTAATGATTTTTGCTCTATATGCATACTGCATAACTAATCAAGGGCCATAACTCTGAGTTAAAGTGTCTGACCAGAACAAGGCAACGATATGCGCATCTCCTCTAGGTATTGAAGATTCCCATAAAGTTTCGTTGAATTCCAGCCATTAGTTGCGGAGAAGTAGCGCAGAAACGATTTTTTCTCTATATGCATACTGCATAACTAATCAAGGGCCATAACTCTGAGTTTAAGTGTATGACCGGAACAAGGCAACGATATGCACATCTCCTCTTGGTATTGAAGATTCCCATGAAGTTTTATTGATTTCGAGCTAGTAGTTGCAGAGAATTTGCGAGGAAACAATTTTTACTCCATATGCATATTGCATATCTAATTAAGGCCATAACTCTGAGTTTAAGTGTCTGACCAGGACAAGCCGACGATATGCGCATCTCCTCTTTGTATTGAAGGTTCCCATAAAGTTTTATTCAGTTCCAGCCAGTAGTTGCAGAGAACTAGTCTGGAAACTAAATTCGGACGGACGGACGGACAAATGGACGAACGGACGGACAGACGGTCAGATGCGCATCTCCTCCTGATATTGATGATTCCCATAAAGTTTTGTTGAATTCCAGCCAGTAGTTGCAGAGAACTACTCCGGAAATGAAATTCGGACGGACGGATGGACGGACGGACGGACAACGCCAAAACTATATCCCCCTCCCGATTCCATCGGCGGGGGATAATTATTATCCTCATTACTTCACTAAATACCCCGTCATATTATTTCCCGGTCCTTGAGCTCTTTGCTAGAAAGTATGAGGGGAATGGAACAGAGAATGATGCATTTGTAGAAAATACTGGTATTTTGTTTTTCAGTAAGAGGTATATTAGTCTGTGGTTCATATGCCTTCCTGACATACTTTGTATAAAGAAATTGCCTGATTATCTGTCTTTAAAAAATATGTGCTTTATATGCCTGACATGAACACCAAATCAAAAACATAAGCAAGGTGCTATATATATAGATATATATGTCGTTTCAAAGCACAAAATGAACTGAAAATTATCATCATCAAAAATGCATTTATAACATAATCTTTTCTAAAGTCTCTTAAGTCTCTAGTTGTAATTGTACTTTATATATACATTATATAGTTTCAAATGAAATCAAAATAACTGATGATTCAAAAACAAAAAGTAAACAACTTCTGTTTATTTAGTTTAATGTTAACATAGAATTAGTTCGTAAGTTTCACCATAGCATAACAACTACAGACAACAACAACAACACCAACAATACAACAAGAAAAAACCGCTTACTACTGTTATTTTTAAAATCCTATTTGTTAAAATTAAAAAAATTAAAGACAATAAATAGTATGAATTAGCGCCAAATAATTATTTAAAACATTGATTTACTCATGCAAAAAGGTATTGTGTGACACGCAATAATTTAAAGAAACCACTAACTTCAAAACAACACTCAATGTTTAGATATTTAATATTTGAACGTGAAGAAATTAACGCCACCAAAGTCATTATGTGAAATAGTCCTGCATTTATGGACAATGCATGTTTGAAAACAATGTAAAGGTCATTGCAAATACAACTATCACATAATTTATGTACGTATTATCGTATGTTGGTGTTACTAAATGTATAATGAGGTAAAATATGAACTGAAAAATGATACACAAAAGTTTACGTAAGAATATCATACAAAAACGTATCAATTTTATACAATAAAAAGGTTGTTCAAATTATTCATTTTCCTTCGATATCTTTTTCAAACACACTAATGTACAATAAATATAACAAACGAATGCGTATTACAGAGTTCACTAGATATACGTGTCTATTATGGTTCTCTTCATGTCTCATACAACACAGTAATACCTTTAAAATATTTTAGTAAAATGTGTAAATAAATCACGTTATTTTCTCCCTTTCTGTAATCTTGCCAGTATGTGCACGCGGTATATGTACGTTACTTGCTAAAGCAATGTCCTGCCATTTATGATTATCAGTAGGAGAACGCGTTTCATTTTTTGGGGAAACCGTTGCGTTCGAAATTGGAGGTCCAATGAGAGAAAGTATCACAGGTAATAGAAAAAGGGCATGCATAATTCCAACAGTAATAACAACAATCATGACTTTGAAGAACGAAAAGAATATATAAGACTTTGCGGCTGCCAAAACGATAACTCCTAAAATAGAAGAAATAGCTCCATGAAATATTGGAGTTCCTGACCTTTTCAAGCCAGATTTCATGCGTTCGTTCCTATCAGGGCCTTCCGATATCATATAACCATGACATATGTGAGCCGCAAAGTCAACGGAAAAGCCAATACTCATAATGATATGGATCATTGTTATAGAACTTAGAGTCAAATCTAAAAACGGAAGAGATGCAAAGATTCCAACAGTGATCATGGCAACAGTTGTTGTGATGTACAAAAGAAGTAGTGGGTGTGGCATGAATATGAATGTTATGAAGAAAACCATAGCAACAGCTATACCAAGTGTCTGAATTGTCTGAGTTAAAATTACGACATATTGTTCGTAAAACAGAAAGGCTGGTGAAAAGGCAAAGACTGGTAGGTCTGTTCGGTCTGATGACAGCTCCCTCATACGTTCCATGAACTTTCCTTGGGCCTGGGAGTCTTTAATGCTTTTCGACATAACATGGACACGAGACGCAACGATAGAGATATTATTCTTGTCGATGACAACGTCATTGCGAAAACGCGTATTACTACTATTATTCAGAAACCCTTGAAAACCTTTAATAAACTCAATTTCTGACGAGGCATTAAAATTTGATTTGTCAGCTTTATATTCTGAAAGCCAGTTTACCTCTACAGAATCAAGAACTGTCTGCTCTGATTTCACTAAAGACAATATATCGTTTACTTTTTGCTGCACGTTTAAGTCAGAATACTTCAAAGGTTTGTTAAAAACAAAGGAAACAGGTGTTCCTAGTGGAAATTTTTCATCTAGTAGTTTTCTATATTCATAATAGTATGACGTTTGTGATACAAGATTTCGCATTTCTAGCCCCTCCTTCATGAGAGTTATACCCCAAATAGATACTGATAAATAGATAGCAAACAAAATAAGAATTATAATTTTAGCTGGGATCGATATTATCTTTGGTAAAATCCAGCCGGGAAATTTATCTAAAAAGCTCTCAGATTCTTTCGAATTGTTTGGTTTTCTGCCTGTACAACAAACGATTTTGCAAGAAGTTTCTTTTGTGCTGTCTTTATCAGGACTGTTTACTCTCATGCATGTCAAAAAGTGCCGGTTGTTGTTTGTTCTGTTTTCGTTGATGACTATACTAGCAAGAAAGATGGTCGCTTGATTTATATAGCAGAAAATAACGGCAACACCTTCAAATATAAACAATTACAATAATTGCAGTAAGTAAAAATTATTTTACAATGGCAGTTTTAAAATGAAATGGTTTTAATATTAGATCAACTAATTTAAGTTGTTTATTAAAAATGTTGTTAAAACATACTGTTCAATATTTATTTTGGCGACTACAGAAATCTATAAAAATATCATATCATAGTGTTTTAACACAGTTTGTCAGTGTAGTGCATATTTTGTATATGAATGACATCCCCCTATAAAAACAGAAATACTGACAAAATCATTAGTAATACTAACTTATTCCTCTAACCTATATATCTTCTTTATTAAAACTTGTAAGAAAACATTATAGAGATCTGAGGAATTCCGGGATATCGTTTGGAATTCCTACATAAATTAAATGTGCAGATATTTTCTTTTTACAACTGTCAATTAATAACTCAATTTGAATTCATATTTGCGATGCAATATCTTTTGTTACCTATAATGATTTAATATCATTATGATACATGTCTTTGATAAAAGGCTCACCGGCATAAATACAAAAGTTCCGCACGCTTAGAAATACTGAAGAAGCCCCAGCTGCAAATGCCAACAGGTCTGTCAGAGAAGTAATTGTGATTGAAATACCACTCGTTTTCATAGTTTCACCAATACGATCTTCGGTTGATGATGAATAGTCCGTGTTTGTGATTCCGGATATTAACATAAACATATCGTCTACTCCTATACCTAAAAAATGTCAATGCAAATAGTATATCAAAATGATATGTATTATCAATGGAGGAAGTGAGATGGCTAAAATGGCTTTAAATGTATTCATTGTGTTTGTTTCTTTCTTTTTTAAGTATTTATGTTTTACGTTATCAAACTTTCAATAAGTGACAGTAAACAAACCTAGAAAAAATGGTCAGTGAACGGATAACAGCAAAATTAGTTGACATTTTGACATAGTTGCGTACAGTTTTAAGTATTATACTATGAAAACATCAATATTCCACGTGCCAACGGAAATTTATAAAATTCAAATTCAGAATGTATCGGTTACATTCAATTCTTACAAAGAGTTGGCAGTCATTTTTAATTCAGGATGTTTTTGTATTGTATCATAAACATTTTGCATTATCTATTATTGGTCAATCACCACTGTAATAGTCATTTGTTTCTAAATATATTACGTATGCAACACAACTTAAGAACGACAAATGAAATTCGTTAAGTTAAATAAGTTGCTCTGTATATAAAATTACCTATGATTAAAAATGGAATAACCCCAACAATACTGACAAATTCGACTCCACATGCACTGCATAATCCAAATGCTGCTACGATAGCTAAGCCAGCGGCTACTACTCCTGCGAAACCCAAGTTTGACCTTTGGCCGACAACATCACAACGAGCTGTTAGTGTTGCTACACAGGCATAGGTTATCATTAAAGTAAATGTTATTGAAAATACTGTGATATCACCCATAACGTTTTCATTAAGTTCTTCACTCAAAGACTCGGAATGGGCAAAGGCGATATTAAAGTCACTTGAAGAATAGACTTTCATCTTTGAAACAAAATTCTTTTGCCATTTTTTAGCTGTTTCAGTAAAGTACGACGAATCAGTTCTGAGATTTACTCTCAATAAAAGCATACTGGCTAATTGAAGCTGGGAGGAGTTGACAATTGCACCACCAACATTCTGCTCGTAGTAAATGGGCCCTCTTACAGTGTGATTAAAATACGGAAAAGAAATTGCATTACTTGTATTTAGAATATTAATGAATTGATTGTCAACAAAAAGATCTCCGTCAATTACACATTTTCCAAAACTTATAGCACAAATGTCACTTAGTTTAACAGTGTTTCCATTGATATCATTTGTTTCAATAGAAAGTAAAAATGTATGGAAAACTTGCAATGCTTTTAGAAATCGTTCATTCAGGATATTTCCTCCGTTCGGTATAACTATTATTTCAGCATATTTGCCCATATCAGGCATTTGATAACCTATAAAGTTCGAACCACTCAAATCAGGAAATAAATTTTTTACTTTGGTGCTGTCTTTACTCGCTTGACTTCCGATTGGTGTGTAGACACGTTCAACATCTACGACAACATTTAGTCGGATCATTCCCAATCCAAGAAGGCCATTCACTAGAACAGTCACTAGGATAACTTTCCACGGATGCCGTGAAACGAATTTCCCATACTTTGTAAACACAGATCCCATTTTCTCTTCAACCACATTGTAGAACTTTTCGAAACAGCTTGTCATTTTCTGTTATTCCCTAGCTCAAAATAATATAATAAGCTATTTTTGTCGTACTTATGGAAATATTAATGCAATCATTTTTAAAATAATTATAAAACAATATTCAAACACCAATATGCAATATTGATTTAGACCACTTGTACACTTATCATCGTTCATAGATTATATTTGATTATGGTGTCAAAAACGATTTGGTAGCGTATACACTTTGAACTCTTACAGAAATTGCTTATAATTAACAAAATCTAAACATGTCAATATGGCGAACTTGGACGGTGTCCAATAATATTATAATATAATATAAAATGCTCAGAACGGAACTGATTGACAAAGAGTATGTCTCTTTTTATAATAATAATAATAATAATAATAATAATAATAAATAATTATTATTAGTATTATTATTATTATTATTATCATTATTATTATATTTAGTTACATGAAATTAGTTGTGAATATCAAATAAAATAATTTTATGACAAAATGTTTTGAAAGCGAAAACTATACGAGTGCTATTCCAGCAGACTCACTCTCGTTGATGGGTTAAGATGTGTTCGCAATCGCTCCATAGACTTATTAATTGTCTAGACCTTAATACGACGCGGTCCGTCGCTATAAAAATTGACCGGAAGAAGTATTTTCTTGCGCATGCACAATGTGCGTAGGGCAGAACACTTATCGCCCTACATAGAAATGTAATAGAAATTCATAGACAATTCCGAGTTAGTTTAAGAAAAAAATTAGAAAATCATATAAAAAGCTTTTAACAGAAACACAAAATATACCATTATAGCTTTGTGGCCTCGATTACCAGAGAAAGGCATTGAAAAATCGATTGTATAAGAATTCCCCCTTACGATCACTGAATTGACAGTATGCTGTCTGTCAATCAAACTGGCAGGGTCTTACAGATAAGCCAATCGGCGGTCGTTATCAGTTTCACGCTAAGATGTCTGAGAAGTCCGCCATTTTCCTTAGACAAGCTATTTGTATAAGACAATGGTGCAGCAGTATTTATATTGATTTTATTTTGATTTTTTGTCAATTTAAAGCTATTAAAGCGGTATAACTAAGTTACAAAATATCCTGACATATTGACAGATGGGGTCAGTTAGTTCATTTTACAAAAACAAAAATATCAGTAACTTTCTATATATGAAGATAATAAGTTATATAGCAGGTACAAAAGTTAAAACTGGCTAATCCACATTGCATTCAACAAGGAAAAAGTATAAACAAAAACTCTAATCCTTCTTCATTACAATTATGTCTATTCATAATCACATAATATATTATAAGGTCTCAGAATATCCAGATGATATGACATTTTTTTGTTCGTTTACAACATAGTGTCAATAAAATGCTGCAGTAGAAAAAAGTACTTGCAAATAAAATGAGAAAATATGCAATAAATATTTTAGGTGAAATTATCCTACCTAAATATTTCTATTAAAGCTCAATGAATTAAGATTAAATATTTAAATACATCTGCTTCAATAGCATCATATCTGATCACGGTTTTAATTTAAAGCCGAGGTATGCGAAACTTATTTTGAAGTGAATAATATTGCGTTTTATCACGAAAATATCTAATGTACAAATATACATACAATCATATATCTTACAACAAAGTTACCCAAGGGCTATTTTCTCATTTAATTTTGACAATTTATGCACAAATGCATTACATGTGAATGATTTCGCTCATAAAAACCCAAACAAATTTGTAAATGTTACTGTTTCATTGATTTGTAGGATTTGTTATATTTGTAAGTTTAAAATTTCTTTATGTTTGATAATTGCTGCTTATTTATTATTTAAAGATTATAAATGTGAAGTATTTTGTGTAACTTTTATGTAAACTGTATGTCTTGACCATATTTAGTATGTTGTAAATGGTCAAAGGCATTTATAATGCAGATTTGCCAATATTTAAAATGAAATGAAATGATATAATTTTACTATAATACGTTCCGCTACATCAATTTTAACTATCTTTGAATTTGTAAACTAAAATGATATTTTGTCTGTAACATCTTCCTTGAAGTCAGCGAGAAATATAACAAGATCTTTGCCAAACGTTTTATTCATCATTAATGCGTGAATGCAGCTATTTGTTACTTTTTTAAATATCGATTGAACTGTTCAATAAAAGCATAGAAATTTTATATATAACAAATTATATAAGGTAAATTCATCATATATAGTCACTTGATTGGCATGACAGTTTCGCATTAACGTTATTTGTCTAAGGTTCTGAATGGCCGGGTCACGTGAATAAGTGGGCGGAGCAATCTCTTCCCTGGCGTAATGTCAATTGTTGTAAAAATGTGGAATAAATATACATGTATTAGCAAATAAAGAAGTCAATTTAATTACTGTTGAAATCGTCCATATAAAAACTTAAGAAATTTTATAACATATATTGTCATGGTACTAAAACGTCCTGGTTGAATGATATTGTTAACACAACCGGTCAATTTCTGTTTTCTTGGTGACATAACTTATACTCACGCTTTTTTAAGCCTTCAAATATCCTAAAATGTAGTCTATCGTTATTGCGTTTTTGCCCTATGCAGAATCCGCATGCGCAAAATGCAACATCGGTTGCTATGGAAAACTCGTTCTGTTCTATACTGTCAAATCGTATACTGGCAACTCGAACATTTCGATTTATATACCAAATGTCCCATATATCAAAAACAGGTACGTTGTTGCGCTTCTCAAACATATCATTAGAAGAGAAAATCCATTAGGTATGATAACAAATTATGTAAGAAAGTAAAAACAAAACCCAAAGAGTATGAACTACGAACTAGTTTTATGTTTCATTAAATATCTAAAAAGTTATATCACTAACGAGAAATGATGTTTTCAAATTACATTTCATAATTTTCCGATAGAACAATTTCTATGAATCTTAAAAAAATCTCATAAAATATGTAGATAAGTAAAAAAATATATTACATTCATTTGGTAGGTGTTTGCAGTTGTTGATACGTTTTAGTACTTTTAGAAGTGCGATTATTATTAATTATTTGAGTTTTGTACAGAAAATATATCTAGTACATCACATAAATATCTTTCATTCATCTTATAACCCATATAAAACTAACAAGTCAGTAACGTAATTAAAGTGATAATTGAGTGCTTTATTGTTGACGGGAATATGCCACCAAAGCAAAGCTCTTAAAAATTCTGTTATATCTACAGACCATTGAAACGTTTCTACAGTAAATTATTGAAATGCTTTTTATCATCACAAATTTTCTAGTGCGGGAGTAAGTTTACTAGCTTATTTTTTACGCTGATTTCAATAATGATTTCAATAATTATTTTGATATTTTACTTATTTTTAGCCTAAACAAAATCTTATTCAATTATAGATACTGAAGAAATAATATAATTATTGAATATTTAATTGAATATGTTAGACATATAATTAGAATTCAAGAAACACACTACATTGCATAGAATAAAACGTAAAGATCTTTGCACAAAAAAATTGAACAACACGTAAAACCTGTCATTTTGAAAAACGTTTAAATTTCTTTACACAATGTTATTCTTGGGTAAGGTATTTAAACTTATTTTATTTATCATCTTGAATAAGATATTACTGATTTATTTATAACTTATATCATTTTAGGTCTCTATTGATGGTTTGAATTGATACCGGTACTGTTAAAGTATATTTACCTCGTCTCATTTACTTTTCTCTTACAAAATAGTTTTAAGAAGTACATATTTCAAATACCAAAATCTTAAAATAAAAGAAATAAAAGAAATAAACGCTAAACTATAAAAAGATCATAATAATTTTAATAAATATTAATATCTAAAATAATGTTTGATATCTTCTTAGTGTTTAAAGTTTTAATTCTTATGCCTTTTTTAATCAGAATAACTTAAAGGATACGTAATTGACAGTTACACGCTGCTATATCAATTTTTAAATCGATAATAAATCAAATGTCAAATGTGCACCATCCAGATTAATCCCAAAAGCATTTATCTTTTAGCTTGACATCCGATCTACTGATTGTCCTTTAATTTTTGATTTCTAATTTAAAAAATAACGTCTGTAAAGAAACAGCATATGTTTCATGCCCGACACAGAATCAAGACCGAAATATCTGTCCTCAAAATGTCCTCATTAAGACAACTGTAAATGCAGTAAATGTTTTCAAAATACAATTATTCTATGTTTTGTAATTGTTTTGTAGTTGTTTTCCTGTCAGGTTATTTACTGTCGCGTTTTGGTTGCTATAGGTTTGCATCTCCTAACAAATTCATGTAAGAAATCATACTTTCATAATGGATTATTCTCTATTGCAAGATTTTAGTTCTGTTTTAAGAAAATATGATTGAAATTATAATGGGATGCTTATTAAGAATATATGATTGAAATTATAATGGGATGCTTATTAGAAAGAATAAATGAAATAGGAATAAAATTATGATTAACTGCAAATCATTAAAATGATTTGATGTTACTAAAATCAAATTTCTTTACAATAAAATAATTTTAAGAACGTAATTCATTCAAAGTGAATTTTTAATACATGTTAACATAAACAGACACACATTGCACTTTTTTTTGAACACGTTTTATGGAAAAAAAAGAATAAAAATATGTGTCTTTTTAAAGTGAAAAAGTAGTTTTCAGTAAAAAAAAAATGATTAGCATATACTTGTTTGTTAATTATTTAAAAATTGATGTCAAAATTGCTAATCAATATAAACATAATGTTTACTTTACAATTTTTATTCCGTGTACTGTTTTAAATGCAATAAACTGCATGAATCCAGGGGCACTGTGTACCTTATTTGGCTAAGAGTAAGTTTTTACGCCTATTTCATTAGTTATTTTTAAATTTTATTTACTCTATTTTTGGCCAAAACAAAATCCTATACAACTAAAGATACTGAAGTACTTAAATTATTATTGAATATTTAAATAAAAAGAACACATATAATTATTATTGAGAACAAAATCTTATACAACAGATACTGAAGTAATGAAATAATTACTAAATATTTGATTAAATATGTAAAACATAGAATTATAAATGAATAAAAACAACAACAAAAAAAACAACAAAAAAACAACAACAACAAAACTTACACTACACAGAATAAACCGTAAAGATCTTTACACAAATGTTTCAGCAACAATTTAAACAAGTCATTTTGAAATACGTTTAAATTAAATTTACAGAAGTGTTTTAAGTAATATATTTAAACGTATTCTATTTATAATCTATGATAGGATATTACTGTTTTATTTACAACTTAAATTATTTTTAGGTATCTATTCATGCATCGAATTGATGCCGGTTATGTTAAATGATATTTACTTCTTCACACTGATTTTTTTAACAAACTTATTTGAGAATTAAATTCTTTTGTTTTAATTAATAAAAAAATCAATTACCAAAAAAATAAACGTAACACTATAACAAGTAAATTTAAAAAAAAAAAAAAAAAAAATAAAAAAAAAAAAAAAAAAAAACAAAAAAAAAAAAAAAAAATGTATCTAGAATACTTTTTAATATCTTCTGAGTGTTTGAAGTTAAATTCGAATAACTGTAATTAAGGATGCGTAATTAAAAGTTACAAGCTGCAAGGTAAAAATTCAAATCCATGATAATTCTTATAGCAAATGTGCATTATAATGTGCATAATTATAAATCCCTATAGCCTTTAATCTTTTCAGTTTGTCGCCCGATTGACTAATTTTAAGAAGTCTTTATATTTAATGTTTTAATTAAAAACATCTGTGAACAAAGACCATAACTTTCATGTCCAACCGAAAATCAAAAAGGAAATATCTGTCACCAAAAATAAACAATTAACTACTTTAAAATGCAGCAATATTTGTGAAATGACTTTTAAATTAATAACTTTTAATCTTTTAGTAGGGCCACATTGTGATTGTGTTTACCAATACGAGCTAGTTGTCAGTTATGTTAGTTGTGCATGATACTGTGATAGCCACTTTCCAGAAGTGAAGCTAGAGCATAGATACATTTAATTTCTAGCTTGAAAGAACATTGGTATTGTAAGTTTTGACGATCTTGCCATGCGACTACTGGATAACCAGTCAAAAGCTTAAGCGCTGGAAAAGTAAATACACTTTTGGCAATATTATTTTGTTAATCATTTCTAATGAATCGGTTTCATATTAAGCTTTTAGCAGTTTATATGTTGTACAGGCATGCAATTTTGTACAAAAAAGAAAATAAATAAAATCAATTACGGAAATGTTATGCAAGGAAAATTCGTTATATTTGATTTCCTAACTTTTTTTACAAACCTAATGAGACAATTTATTTTACACAGAAATAAACTAAATATGTTTCCACAAAACATTTCAGCCAAACATTAAAGACTTAACAATTATGAAATGCAGAATTTTATTTATTTTATTGCTTGCACGTAAATAGTTGCAGTAAAATAATTTCATATTCAAATTTATTGAGAACGAAAATAATATTAAATTATTAATACAATTATTACATGTTAATTTTTTATTAATTAACCAGACTTGAAATAGCTGATTTGATCACAAACACCTAGAGTCGCTTTAATTTTCAAATTAAAGTAAAATAAGTATCTGTTACGTTGATCAAAATCATTTAAAAGTAAAACAATTAGCAGCTTTATAAACTATCTGAATTAAAAAGTTTTGAAATTACTTGCTTAATTTTGATTAAATAACTGATTTACACCTCAAAAAAGTTTAAAGTTAAAATAAAACGTACAAGAACTTACTGACTAGCCTCTTGATGTTTTCCTGTTTCTCCTTATGGACAGTAATAAGCTCAAGCTTTGTTTAAAGTTTGAAAGATATCGTTTAAATTACTGCATAGAGATTACGTAACAGGAATGTCACGTGTCATGGACAAAAAATTAAATGCAGCGATTATCAAGGAGCAATGAATTGATAATTTTAACCGACCACCTGCAATTTAAACCCCCTTCTGGAATATAAAAAACGACATTTACTTTGGGCCATTATTATTGTCTGTGGTACATGCACTTAATTGAACAGTAAAATTTGATGGACAATATTAGCCTGTTTGTGCTATTGTACCACTTTAGTTAAAAATTTTGAAATGCACCGACACCAATTTTCAATTTAGATTTTTGAAAAATTGTACTGACTGGCACATGATAATTTTGGAACTGGTTGAACCTGGTTGACAGTGAAAGGTTTTCTATAATAGTAAACCATGAAAGGAATTTAAATTTAAATATGAACATCAAAAACAACATCACACTATAATAAAAACAAACAAAACAAGAAATCAAGCAGATCAGTTAGGTACATTATTTAAAAAAATATCTAGTATTGTTCCATAAAAAACATTTTATTGAAGAAAGTAATTTGAATTGACGTTATCGAAACAAGTGACTGTCAGGAGAGAATTAAACGAAAACAATATGTATGCAATTGCATGTATAGTTTGCAATTAAATCTTTATAATAATTAAAAATTGTACTAACGATATTATCAACGCCAACACAAAAAGGTCTCCTTTCCTGTATGGGAATAAGCGATTTTTTCAAATCATCGAAACAATACTTGCCATTGGCAATTTAACAAAAAGCTAATGAGTCGAATGACTTTCGGACACGAGCTTTATTTACCACATCTCGCATTTTAGTCTTGTTTATAAAACATTTCATTTAATAACAAGCATATTAAAAGAACATATATTTAGTGAACTTATGTTTTGAAACCATAAACAGATTTATTTGTTTCGACACAAATGTAAATACATAGTTAAGAACTGTGTGCAATTTTTTTTAGGCAAGAACTTTTTTTGATAATGACCGAATACTTTATGGTTAGATATTTGAAATCTTTAGTTAAAATAAAAGCATTTTGTGACACTTTACAATTATGTAAATTTAAACAATTTATCTTACAAAAACAAAACATATTTCAACTTCAATTTTTTTTTGTAAATAATCCTAATTTTTTATTACATTTCTGTAATTATATAACATCATTTTATGAGTTGTAAATCCTTAAATGCATCATTAAAATCTTAAATACATTAAATTTGCACTTAAAACGAAATCAAAAAATTTAATCTTAAAATCATGAACAAATCAGCGGTGTTTTACAGCCAAGCAGGAAGCATGGACACTCTTGAAAGTGTCAAATTTTGCATTTGTAGCATGTCATTATCACAAGAGCTTCCCTCTAATCCACTTAAAATATCTGATAAATCATATAAATTATATTTAGCTGTCAGGTAATTTAAGTGTATTTTACTTAATTTAAGTATTATCACCCATCCACTGCAGGAGACAAATCACCACTTGAAAGTATTCTTAATTTAAAATAAATCCATATAAATTACTCAGACAAGTCAGTTCATTTAGTTCTGCAAGCTATATAAGATCAGAGCCAGAGATTGACTCTGTCCAAAAAAAGACTGAATGGTACTGCTCATTCAAGAAAGTCTTAGGTAAGCAAATGATTTATCAAATTATTGACTGTTTTGTGAATAAAAAATATTTTTTCTCTCAAAAATTTTACAAGCATTACAAATGATTTTTTATGTCTGAAATGTTTATTTGTTCTTAGATAGTTTAGAGTCTGCGTGGAGCTAAAGAATCGATATAATAATTTAATTTTAATTTTAATATGAAACATGAGTTCTAAAGCTGCAAACTAATTCATGAATTTTCATGTTTCGATAAATATTTCTGTTCTTTTGATTATGGTAGATCTGCAAATTCAAAATGTGAACAGGCGATTAATATTTTCGTAGAAGATAATCTGTTCATTTAAAAAATTTCATAATTACAATATCAAGTGAGAATTCTCACTGATTGAATTAAACATTTAACACTTAGTGGTATTCTTTAACATGTAGTTAGCAAAAGTAACTATTGCATTCATCAAATCACGCATCGATAATGCAGCTAACATATTTTGTCAATCCGACATGTTTTATCTAGTATCTAGGCAATAAATGGTAGTTAAGTTGCAATAGCAGTTGCCAAAAGCAACCATAAAAATAATAGTACTTTAAAAGGTAACATACAGAGATCGATGGTCTGAAAGTAAAGGTGCCTGCCTCTTAATCTAGGAATCGTTTCCTCACATTGCGCCAGTCCTAGTGGCTAGTTTAGGTAGCTGAAACGACTGTGAAAAGAATAAATAAAATAACTTTTTTTGTTATTATCAAGTTCATGACATTGTAAGTGTTAAGCAAACTTAAATTAATTAAATTTGGAATGAATATTCTATTTTCATATCCAATGTTGAGATGATTAAACCAACACATCTATACTTATGAAAAAGCGCAAATGTTCAATTAAAAAAAAAGAAATAAAATAATCATAAATAAAAAAGCAAAAGCACGAAAACAAGCACTAACATATGACGTGCTTTGAATAAAGACAAAAATGTAATACAGCTCAGCAATACTAGGGTTTGACACACATTCTATGCTGAAATAAATGACGTATTTATCGCATAAATATCTATTTACAAGTATTATTGATATATAGATAAGCCAAACCTTCTATGATGTTACTTACGATTGAAAGACACCGTTCTTAGACGATATTTACATCATACTTGTAAACATGTATGCAGAACAATACGACAAAGCTAAGTTTTTTTTTAAAAGAAACATGTCAACAAAATTAAAAATTATTAACCATAATATAACATTTTATTCGTATACACGGTTATAAAAAAGCTTTTAACTTTTTAAAAAATACAAAACAGGATGGACTAGACAAGATCAAAAGCGACAACAATGGGCGATTTACAGGATATCGCTATTGTTGGGATCGGGTGTAGATTTCCAGGCGCTGATAATTTAGAAGAATTCTGGCGTGTACTTAGGAATGGCGAGAACCATGTAAAAGAAGTACCAGCTAGTAGATGGAATTTAGATGTATTCTTTGATCCGGACCCAAACACACCAGGCAAGACTTATGTTCGCAATGCAGGTTTTGTAAAGGGGTAAGTTTTATAAGGGTTTATATTTTTCATGATGGTTCATGTTTTATTTTTTACATGAAATTCGGTACTGGGAATCATCAATCAAACAAGAAATAACAATTTATTTTAAAATTTAATTTTTCGTAAAAGATGTTTTATATTACAACTGTAATATTTTGATGATAAAGTTATGTAGTACAAACAAGAAATTAATTTGTGTTTAAATTTCCTACTTTCCTATAGTAAAAAAGGTGGCATGAAGGTTTAAAGATTTCCGGACTCATGGTCATTTCCCCATTCCTTTACATCAATTTTTATGACATATTCCATTATTAAATTTCGATCTACAATTATTCCGTCTTTAGGGTCGAAGAATGGGATCACCGCTTCTTCGGTTTGAACGATATGGAAGCAGAACTTGTTGACCCCCAGCAGAGACTGGTTCTAGAGTGTGTTCATATGGCGCTCGAAGATGGTGGAATAAGACGAAATGATATCGATGGTTCGGACACGGCAGTTTACATAGGTACGCATGATGAATTGATATAATTCGTGACTGATTCATACGAAAGACCGGTAGGGCCATTTCAACTTCATGAATTCCCGATTTCATCTTCATGAATTCACAATTTAAACTTCGTGCATTCCCGTTTTCAAAATACGGAATTCATGAATTCACGATTCAGCTTCA